AGCTCTCCCTCAGGTCATCAGACTTGAAGGAAACTGTTTCAGCCTAACTATCTTGCTGGCCTCACATTACTTTTGGAGACAAGGTCCCTCACTGAACCTGCAGCTCATTGATTCAGCTAGATTTGCTGGACAGCAAGCCTGAGACCCTCTCGTCTCTGCCTCCCCAGAGGTAACGTACAGGCACAAACCACCAAGTTTGGCTTTTTATGTGGTCCTGGGGATTCACACTCAGGTTTTCAGGCTTACATAGTATGTTACCAGCTGAGCTATCTCCCTAGCCCCATGGATCTGCTCTTAAAACGCCCCCAGTGTGCAGGAACAGAAGGACTTTGATCCTCCACCCCGTCTTGGCCAGAAAGTCAGACTTGGTCTGGGATGACCAGCATCTCTATGCCAGTTCTGCCAACTGTCACACACTTGTGCCCCATCTATGCTGCCCCTCCCCAGCTCCTGCCCTGTGAGGTTTGAGTGGCAGCTGCCCAGGCTCCAGACTCAGGCCAGCTGTTTCTGATCAAGTAGAGAGGCTCATCTGTGCCAAGGCAGGCAAGGGAAGTCCAGAGAGGCTTAGTGACCACCCATAACGTAGTATAGCAGGGAGCAAATATTGGGTAAGACTTGCTTCATCTTGAGAAAAACACTATGCCAGGTCACCCACTGCCAGAGTCTCCAGGACCGGGATCTTGGGCTGTGCTGTCCCTTGTGCCCACATCCTCTTCTCAGTGCAGACACAGCACAGATATGTTGAGGTGTTGACTACGGGAGACTTAGGAATTCCCAAAGCGGACACACTTGTTTCCTCACCTGAGAGCCCAGTAGGCTTCTACCGCTTCCTCCCCATTTCCCTCTCCCTCTCCTTTGAGACAGGGTCTCTCCATGTAGTCCATGATGGCCCTGAACTCGAAATTGACCTGTCTCAGTCACCCTAGTGTGGAGATTACAGACCTGTGTCACCTGCCTAGCTCCGACTTCTCTTTTGATGCAATAAAGAGCCGTGATCCTGAGTACTTCGTAGACATCCCGCAGAGCACGGGACACCCTAGTCCCAGGAGACCCCGCCCCCAGAACCTCTCACTTTCTGTACACCCTTCTGACCAGCAGCCAGGGAACCTCCCCCCCCCCCCGGGGTCTCCCACTAAGTGCTGGGGCGCAGGTGGCGCAGGATACATAATGGAACGATGGCAGATGCTCATTAGCAGGGGCCCGCCGTGCAGCCCACATGCCTCGGGGAGCCAGGCTGGCAGAGGCAGAGCAGCGGCGCCAGCCACCCACCTTTGTCTGGCTGGCTGGGGGCCCTGAGTTGGGGCTGGGGGCTGGGCACTGTGGCTTTAGAAGCAGCATTTGCTTTCCACCCCCACCATGGCACAACTGGGACCATGGGTCCAGACAGAAGGAATGTCAGGCTTCCACCAGGGACCATGGCAAGCCTGAGCTTCCTCTCTGTCCAGGTGCATCTTTGGTCACCATGTGGGGGAAAGAAGCTGGTAGGAGAGGGGAACCTTCTGCTAGACCCTTGCAGATGGGGTGACAAACCCAGGATGAGAGGCAAAGGGACCCTTGGCTGGTGCAGTAGAAATGGACACACCTGAGCTCTGCCCCTCTGCAGGCTCACCAGGAAAGTCTGCCTGCCTCCTTTTCCTCCTCAAAGTCAAACAAGTAGGGTGGCCTGCTGCTAAACCGGTTCCCCATGGATCTCAGAAGGAAACAGCTCTGGAAGCACTGGGGACGAAGGCAAAAATGGGGTTCATGCTGCCAGTCTTCCATTCACATGCCGGGGTCCAAGCTTCACTCTGGCCCTCACGTCGGTGGTCTCCTTCTAAGCAAAGACGGACACACCTCACACCCTGATGGTACGTTCCAGTACCCCCATGTGAACATGCTCAGGCCACACTCTGAGCAGCAAGGAACGACCTCGGATCAGCCAGCACCTCTAACTCACTTGTTCCCTGGGAGACAGCAGGGATCAGGCACACCCGGAGCTGAGACCAAGGTCAAGTGGGCTGGGCTAGGCTAAGGCCTGCCACAGCCCCTGCTCTTTCTTACCTCAGTCTCCCTCTCTGGACAGAAGCCTCTCACCTCCAAGTCTAGGCAGGCCCTTCAATTGACAGCGTCTGCAGCCTCCTCCTCCTCCTAGGTATCCAGCACCTAGTTTGAGCCTGCCTAAGCAGCAGTAAACTCAATCCAGGTGAGGCTCCACCTACCTTCTAGCTTCCGGTGTCTGTAGCCTTCTGACACTCCTGAGTTTTCTGGCGCAGTCTGAATGGCCTTCAGCCTCCGTGGACTTTTGGCATCTCTACCCTGGACAGCATGAGCTGCCTTGTATGAGGCTGGGATCACCCTGTCGCTGGTCTTCAGAGACCTTTCGAGTCTGTCGGAGGCATGCCACCACGCCCCCGCACACCTGCAAACTGCCAGCCCTTTGTGGCTTCTCTCCGCCTCCACTGAGCTGGGGCCCCACCTGAATCCTGCCCCATATCCTGTCTGCAGTGCAGTATAAAGCAGCCAAGGGCTGGAGGATGCTGAAGGCCTCCAGGGCTGTGGGTGGAATTCCTAAAATGTCCTGCTGGACTAAGGTGGAAGCAGGCAGAGGGTAGGGGCAGAGATGGAGCTTATTCCTAGGGATGGGTAGTGGCAGCTGCCCCAGGTATCTTGGGCAGATGCCAGGGGAGAAGTACAGGCAAGCTTCACCCTGCAATAGAGAGGCCCTGTGTGTACATGTCCCCCCAGCCCCTGCCATCCACCTCTTTTCAATGTTCTTACAGTCAGGCGCCGGTATACAAGGGGTCCTTCTGATGTACACCCACCCCCAGCGCTGAGACCTGCAGGCTGAGCCAGACCTCCCCCCAGGAAGCCAACTCAAGCAGAGGCCAAGCCTCTCAACAAAGTGGTATCCAACACTGTTGAGGGCCAGGGCCATGGGGGTGTGTCACTCCTTTCGGATTAACCTCGGGGGATCCCCACACTCCATTGTGTTTCCTGCTGTCACCCAGATGGATCCCCCTACTTTCCTTGTCTATGGACCCTAGCCGTTACCAGAGCAGACCCAGAGTAGGGTCTGGTCTAGACAAATGATGGGTAACTGGTGAGAGAATAAGAAAAGAAGATGGATCGGGGGATGGATAGATGGATGGACTGGAGGAGGGATGCCACACGTGTATGGAAAGCCAACTGCGAACCAAGACTGTGGTAGGCATAAGAGAGACAGCCGAACTAAATCCCCAAACCACCCACTAAAATCCCTGGCCTCTCAGAGCTGCAGGGATTCAGACCATAAATCAATACACAATAAATATGAAATCTATCCAGAGCTATCAAGATGAGGGGAGTGACAAGGGAGCAGGGCTAGACGCCTGGTGGAAAATGATGCTTGAGTTTAGACAGCAGCCGAGGAGGTAGCCTTTGGGATGCCTAGAGTAGAGCATTCTAGGAGAAGGAAGAGCCTTTGCAAAGGCCCTGAGGTGGGTGAGCCTGGCTTAAGGGCTGAGGAGGAGCTTGCTCAATGCTGTGCAACTGAATGAAAGAGCCAAAGGGCCAAAGGTAGAGACAAGGCCCCAGAGGAGAAGGGTGGCCAGCCGGACAGACGGGGGTCTAGGAAGGACAGGTGTGGTCATGTGTTGCAAGGAGGTGATGTAAGCACCTGCCTGCTGGCAACCGCTCTGCCCGGGCCCTGCTGAGACCCTCAATGCCACCATCGCCCCTTCCATATAAGAACCCCTGGCTACCGGAGTCCCCTCGGCTACAGCGTGAGCACACACCCCCTGCTCTGACCAGCACAAGCAGGGTCCCCTGAGCTGAGCAGATAATAGGTACCAGGGAAGATGACAGTTACAGAGCAGACCCACATGAAAACCTGACTACAGGGTTTCCCCGTCGTCCTGGAGATATCATCTGCCCTGAAAAGGACACAAAGGGAGTCCCAGTGACTTCCTGCATGCCCACTGGTGACTCCCTCACTTGTGACACCCACGCTTCACATTTTCCCATGTGACCTCGGGGCCCCTGGCGTGTGAAGTTACCATCGTTCCCTGTCACTTACTAGCAAGGGCTGGTGCTAGAGTCCCAGTCTTGGGCCCTCTTTTGCTGGGTGCACTTGGGGAAGTTGCTTAACCTCTCTGTGACTCAGGTCATCTATCAAGTGGGAAAGCCTGCTTTTGCACTGATTGCCTCTCAAAAATAACAAGAGTTGGGCAGTTCAGTGTGCCCTGGCGGTGGAGGTGCCTGAGGAACATTTGTGACTATGAAGGCCTGGTCTCCTGGCAACCCAGATCATCCTCTGGGATAGCCCGTTAAGAACATGAAAAGTCACAAGACTGTGTCCAGGTCTCAGACCTGCCAGCTGCAGAGATGTTTGTAACCACCATGATCCAGGCCTGAGACAAAAGCAGGCTCTGTCTGGGTCACACTGACTCCCCTGCTCATCCTGGAAGGAGCAGCCACCTGGTGTTAAGGGGTAGGCTACTCCCAAACAAGGCAGAGTGGGGTCCAAGAACAGGCCTGAAGTCACACCCAGGCAGATGGTCGCCAGAATCTGTCCTAAACCCACCACTACTCATTGGAAATAGAGAAAATATGGATCCCTTCCCTTTCAGGCACTTGAGGGACAGGGTGAGAAGGTCCCCAGGTCTGTACCCCATGCTTTGAAGCTAAGCTTCCACGTTCCTTCTCAGAGCTGGTGAGGCCCATAAGGCCAGGGCGTGAACTCCCATCTCTGTGGAGAGCCCTGGTTGAGCCGTGGTTGAGCCCTGGTTGAGCCAAGGTTGAGCTATGGTTGAGCCGTGGTTGAGCTCACCTTGGGCACTGAGAAGGGACTTGCTTCACCTGTGGTGACGACTGTGCTTCCTAGTCACAGATTAACTGACTTGGGCCATTCGTTTTTCACCAGTTCCTGTATTTATCCACTGAGCTAATATTTGCTTAGTAAGTACTAAGTGTGGGGCCTCTGTTTCAGAAAACAAACACCCCCGGCAGCCAGTGGAGATGGTGAGGCCAGGGCCCGGGTGTGTACTGCCTGGAGCCCGGCTCCACCTGCTGCTCTGTCTCCTGGCTTAGCCTCAGTCCGCGTGCACAGCGGTGTGAGAGGCACCTGTCCCTGCCGTGAGGATCCCATGGGAAGATGCTAAAGCCCCCTGGACAATGGCTGACACATGCTTCTGTGCCCCATAAATGTCCCCCATCCCCAGTGCAGAGCAGAAGGTAAGTCACCGACATCTGGCCGGCAGCCTTTTATGTGCTCAGTGCTGTTCCTGCTGTTAATGACCTGGCAGAAGTCATTCTTCATGGCAGCGTGAGTGTGCAAGGTCACTGCTCCAGAGCACACCCCAGCAGCATCCTGGGTAGCCTTACCAAGCCTTGCAGAAAGCAGATGGGAAGGATGGAGAGCCGACGGCCTTGCCTAGGCTTTGGTAAATCTGTGGCAAGCCAGGAGTGATGACTGTCACCCTGGCAAGAGGCTGGGTTAAGGGGACGGAGAGTTCAAGGCCAACTGGGTTGTGCCGAAGACCCTGACTCGGCTAGGTCTCAGTGAGGTCATTCTCAACTTTGTGTCCTCTGGTCACGGTCAAGGCTAGCCTTCTAGGTTCTTCCACACAGCGTCACCCACCTGTGTCCAGTCTAGAGACAGGAAACCTCGCTGCGGTCTGAGTGGTTGCCACGCAGTAGTACTTCGGTTCTTTGAAGCTGGAGCCTTTCTCTGACCCTTAGTCAGTAAGGGAGAATAAGAGGTCCATCCTGAAGTGTTCCCCAGAGAGTAGCAGAAGAAGATGGGGGGGGGACTTTTGGAAGACACACTCATGCCAGCAGATCCAAGGGCAATATCTGTCCCCATTTTATAGATGGAGACACTGAGAGCAGGCAAGAGAGATGCACAGCTCCACTCTGAGTCAGTGCCATTGGGCCACGTCCTCAATGTTCCGTGACACTGCTTTGGAGTGGCCCTGTCCCTTGAGGTGACGTCTGAGTCACATCTCCAGCCCCCACCCCCACCTCAGCCTGGAGACAGCACTCATGGTGAGCCCACTAGACAGACACAGGAAACTGGGGGAAACCAAATGTCACATATGGGCTTCCAACAGAGATGCATCGAGGGGAGTTAGCACGGAGAAAGGGTTTCACCCACACAGGGGACTCACTTCCCACCCCTCCTCTACCAGGGAAACTCCACCTGCCCTCTCCCAGCACCCTACCCACCCATAGGAAGTTAGTCCTTAACCCTGGCAGCCCCACGGCCCCACATTCCTTTACCCGTAGGAGCGTTCAGAGGAGCTCCCTGGACCACTTCTGAGCACCAGGTCGCTTCCAAACCCTGCATCTCAGGATGCATTTGGATTGCATCAGGGTTTGTGGACCAGGAGGCTGAGACCGAAATGTAACTGCATTGCCCAACGGGGCCAGCAGCAGGTTCTGAATGGACTACTGGTCCCTGGCTTATCTACATCATGAGGTTTCATATCTGATGTATTTCATTTGTTCATCCAACATTTTCCAAGTGTCAAACTGTTCTCTGTGGGGCCAGACAAACACTATGCATGTTTTTACGGTACTCGTGCCTTGATGAGGAAGTCAGGTACAGAATTGTAAAAATTAGAGAAACCCCGTAAATATAAGAAAAATATTTACATATAGTATAAAAGAGTGATCATAGAGTGTATGAAATCATGAACACACGTTACCTAGGAAACCAGGGAAGCCCTCTCAGAGGAGGGAAAGAGACAGCGGCCCTGAGAAGAGTGGACCCAAGGCACATGGGATGACTCAGAAGGGGCGTTAGCACAAGTGTAGGGAAACTGAAGGCTGGTGAGCATGGGGGGAGCTGGGGAGAGGACCACTCCCTCCCGGGAGAGACACCAACTCCAGTCACTCAGGGAAGCTGGAAGGCAGGTGGCCTTAGGCCTAGCTGTCCTGAGCAGGCCAGAACTGGCCACTCTGCCCTGAGTCGGTGCAGAACTAGGAGAGGGTAATGACAGGCTCTAAACATTGTTCCGGCCTGAATGGGTATTTTCATTTACACTAAGTGGGATGAAACCTGGCGGAACTGTCCTCTGTTGCCAGCAACACAAACTTCTTTTCCTGAGTCAAGATTCTAGGTTGCTTGGACGATCATGTCACTGTTTCCGTTGTCAGTCATTATTCCTGATGACGGTGGCGGCTAAAGACCTGGCAGTCACCGAATGCGCCTTATTTAACATTCTCTCCTCCACTTCCTTGAATTCATCCAGATGATCGGCGAGCTAATGGCCGCAGCCTGATTCCCATCTCCTTCAGATTCCCATACCTCAGCTCCTCACAGACAGCTTGAGCAGACCAAGCTTGGACCTCAGAACCAAGGAAGATGAGGGAGGCTCAGCATTCTACAGGATTGCGCATATCCATGTAGTAGATGTCACCAACCTCAAGAGGTAGGTATGAGTCTGCCAGGGAATTAATTGTAACAAAGTACCAAAGACTGAGTAGTTTAAGGAGCCGGAATGGGTTCTTGGCTCTGGAGTCCAGAAGTTGAGGATTAAGGTTTCAATGGGGTGAGTTCCTTCTGAGGGCCCCGAGGGCCTTTACACAACTCTTCCTGGCTTCTAGTGGATGAAGGCCATCCTTGACACTCCTGGGCAGGGTAGCATTGCTTGATCTCCACCTCCCCCTTCCCTGGATGGCTGTCTGGGCCCACATTCCCTGTTTTAAAGGGCTTGACCCTAAGAGCCTCCAGCTAAGTTGATTAAATCTGGAATGATCCTGTCCACACACGCGTCACGGCATCTCGCGCTCAGGTTTGTGAACCTTGATTCCCATGACAAAGAAAGCAAAGAAAGCCAAGAACTGAACCACAGGTACAGATTATAGCCAGGTGTAACCATTAGAAAGTGCTACATTGTGGGGCATAGTTGCACACGCCTTTAGCCTTTAATCCCAGCACTTGGGAGGCAGAGGCAGGAGGATCTCTGTGAGTTCGAAGCCAGCCTGGTCTACACAGCGAGTTCTGGGACAGGCTCAAAAATACAGAGAAACCAGAAACCCTTTTTGAAAAACCAAAATCAGAAAAAAAGAAAAAAAAGAAAAAAAGAAAGAAAAGAAAAGAAAAGAAAAGGAAGTTTAGAGCTCTGAGTATTTACTACTTTGTAATTTTGTTTGTGTAATTTCATTCCTCTCCCCTCCTTTTCCCTCCCCCATCTCTCCCCCTCCTCCCCACTTCCTTCAGCCTCTTTGTGCCATCTGGTCCCAATCTTCCAGTCTCAAGCAATCCTCCTGCCTCATCCAACCAAGTAGTTGGGACCACAGACACATACCCAGCTTTAATTCTATATGCCTGTGTTACTGGAGACAGAACCAGGACCTCATGCATGCTAGGCATTCTCTCTACCGCTGAACTCCCTCCAGTTCCTATGATTTCACAGCGGCTGTTTAACAGCCAAGCCACGGATGGTCCAAACATTTCACAGTCTTGTCCACCAGCACAGGCAGTTAGACATTTACCACTGGCGTCCTCCCCTCAGCTTATCCTAGGTCCCCAGCTGGCTTCCCAGGGGCTTAGATAAGAGCTGGGTCGCAAAGTGGGTTTGAGTCTTCCGTATGTCCTCTGAGGTCTCCTCATCTCGAGAAGACCCCGAGGAAGGGATACTCTGGTAACAATGGGCTGTGACAGGGCCGTCAGGCAGACCAGCAAAGAGCTACCAACAGCCTACACATCCGGCACCAGGAAAACACTCGCCCCAGTTTTCACCTTGAAAGTGACCAGCTGGTTTATGTTGTCCCTGCTTCTCCTTGCCTGGAAAGTTCTGCATTCTAAGAATCTGCTTGGTCCTAGGCAAACCCAGACATTGGTCACATGATCATCTGTGTGGCCACAACAACACGATGCTTAGTATCGTGGTACACCCAGTAGAGAACACAGAGAACACAAAGGCTGTGTCTTCACTGGTCTCAAGAGCATTTCTCCTCCAAGGCAGAGCTGATACCCAGGGACCCTGGAAAGTTTCTACATAGCAAGGATTAGAGTATTTGAGCAAAGCCTGAGGATGGCAGAGAGATGGAGCAAGGAGAGACATTCTGAGAAGTAATGGCCAGACCCTGGAAGTGGGTTCAAGCGACCTTAAGGAGGTGATCTACCACCGGGTACCTCAGTCCTTCCACATGTCCTTCCACCATGGCAGTGCCCTGCTTCTCACAAGCTCTCAGGCAATGCCGTCAGGGTGCAGAACCATTGGGCTAGGGCTGTGGGTGCTTTTTCAAAACCACTTTAAAATTATTTCCACTGTGGTATGCAAATGATGTTTGTTGAAACAAAACTCCAGAGTACCTAGGTACGTGGCCTATCTAGAGGCGGAAACCAGATGTGGGGTTGTGGTAGGCGATGCAGTGAGGGCTAAACCCAGTTCTGAAACATCTCATTCCTTGAAACAGCTGACTCAAAAGGGAGCTGGGTCTCCCCAAGGCTAGACCAGCCCAGGCCATAACTGAACCCCAGCAGGGCTGGAGAAATGCAAGGCCTGCAGCCCTGCTCCAATATCCCAGAGAGCATTTGTGTTTTCAGAGCCTCCCAGTGCACGGCTGCTCAGTCTCAACGCCACAGCCTGACAGCAGCTGTTCACACCACAGCCTGACAGTGGCCATTCACACCACAGAAGCTTTAGCACCACGGTGCTGCCATAGCCACAGAGGAAAAGAACCTGCAGCTTAGACAGATCTGGGGGCCACAAGGGTTAAAGATCTTGGCTTTCCCATTTGTCCTGAGTTCACATTGCATCTGGTTGTTAGGAAAGCTGACTTGGTGGGCATCACTCTCAGGGGCCTCACCTTGAGTCCTGAGGAAGCCAACTCTGTTATCTCTGAAGATGAGACTCAGAGCACGGATGCCTCTTGTTCTAGAAAGTGACGGAATCCAGATGGGAGCCCAGGCCACCACTCTCGCCTACCTGTTTATCTGCTAGGATACCCTTCCTCCCAGGCACAGAAGCACCTGGCTGGGCCTGGGATGTCCTGTGCTGAGATCTCCCATGGACCTGTTTCCCTAACCTCAGTTTCTTTGTCTGTGGGTGGTGGCCACTGTACTGGGGCAAGAATTACAAACTGTGGTATCCATGGGCCAGGCAATGAAGTTGCTAGTGCAGGGGGAATGGGGCAGGCAGGAGGGGAGGGGATGAACTGGAGAGCACAGCCCCCCAGCAGCAGGGCCCAGCTCAGAGAAAGGACACTGTAGCAAATACGAGACAGTATGATCCAGTCCTCAGTCTTTGCCATATAAACTAGAGATGTGACTGTTGCATGAAAAATCCCGATCATTGAAAGTCCGGCAGTGGTGGGAGGGTGGAAAGCCTTTGGAAGTCACATGAAACCCGTCCAAAGCCAGAGCCCAGTTCTGACTTCAGCTGAGTTCTTCTACAGTCGTGCGGATGCCGATTGCTTCATGCCATTGCAGCGGACAGAGTCCCCGTGTTTCAGCTGGGCCCAAACATCCTTGCGAGGTCACCTCGCAGTTAAGGGTGTTCACATGACTGAACCCTGGACGATAAGTGGCCACTGGAAGCCGAGTCTGCACTACTGGGCTCCCCACTCCTGAACAGATGGTCTGGGCAGTGAGAGGGCTCAGGTCAAAGCTGCTGCTACCACTGACAACCTGGCTTGATCCCTGGGGCCCACACAGTGGAAGGAGAGAGCCACCTCACGTACGTTGACCTCTGACCGCTACATGCCCATGTTATGTGTGACCAAACACATACACACACAATAAATAAACAACAAACAAATAAATAAATATTTTTTAAGTTTTCAAAAGAAGTGTCAAGCCGCATATTCCTGTCCCCCACTTGCCCGTCTGAATAGAACACATGCTACTGGCCATAAACCCAGATGAAAGTCATATCCTGGGGTTGAGAGCAAAAGGAGGATGTGTATCCGGTGCCCTGCATGGCCATACTCACCCTGAACAGCCCAGACCATTCCCTGACTGATGATTACCCTGCCGCTGTTAGTGCGTAGCCATAGCAACAATCCACCTAGCGCGGGTGGAAGAACCTCCCTCGGCTGTCATATTTGTTTCTTTTTATTTAATTTTCGTGGTGCTGGGGATAGAACCCAGGATTCTATCCTGTGTGTGCTACACAAGTACTTTACCCCTGAACCAGTCACAGTTCAGAATTTCAAAACCAGAATCCTTTCTGCTGCCCACATACCCATTGTAAAGGTCAGGGTGTCAAGGCTCAGAGAGGTAAGGAGTCTAACTTAATAAGAGTCTCTCTATGCTCAGACTCACGTACAGGACCTATGCTTTTCCGTAAGATAAAGAGGCTTTGGGGACTTCTGTCCCCTCCAGCTGCTGTGTGGCCTCTGCCAATCACGGTCCTGTCTGGGCGGCTTGCCATTTAGTTCGGCCTCCTCCCACAATCTCTGACTAAACAGGTTTGAACTGGCACCCGGTGTCGAGCTTGTCATTTGAAGTACTCCTACCAGGTGACTCGGCAGTTCTTCCCCAAGAGTCTGGCCTTCCATTGACCTCAGCCACTGGCTCATCTGTCCTCTGGAGACCCAAAGCCTGTGATCTGGAAGACCAGATGTGCAGAAATCTCTGAGATAATGTGTAGGCCAATGGTGGCCATCAAAACGCCTCCTGGCTGACAGCAGGCAGCTTCATCTGCCCCTCTCAAACACACCTTCCCACGCCTCCGAGCGGCAGGTGACCTTTGCCAGCCTATACTAGGCACTCGGCTAGGACACCTATACAGCTGTGCTGAGCCCTGCAGGCTGAGAGTCGCTTATGACCTAGGGGCCAGGTAGACCACACTGACCCCACCGAGGCCAGAGCCGTTGACCTTGAACTAATCTCAGAAGCAAGGTTACAAATGCCCAGCCCAGGGTCCAGGCAGGAGCGGGTGCAGAAGCAATGCAACAACAGGAAGGGGAAGTACGCCGGCTTGCTTGAGTGCTTGCAGAAGTCGATAGCTAAAGTCCAAGGTTAATAAATCAAGAAAGAGCCGCACGTTACTTATTGCCAAGAGGCGGCCACAAAACCCAACCGCGTGGAGGAGTGAGAACCCAGACTTTTTATCACCGGCCCTTTTTATGAGTTTGGGCTTTAAGTCCATTTGTTAGAGTTGTTTGTTTAAAAGTGACCAGTGTTGGTTTGTGAGGTCGCTATGTTCTAGGACCTCTTCGGGTCTGGAAAGCCACACTCAGGGTTCCGTGTAGTCCGGTTGCATGGTCAGTCTCTCTCTCTATAAAGTGAGCAGACACACGGGGCAAATTTCTTTATCACTCTGGGTCCAAGTTCCTCCAGCTACGTAACAAGAATAATAATCCCAAGCTGCTGGTACATACAGTAAATGGCCACTGGGGGCTTCGCTCTTAGTAACCCTTAACTCAGACTATGGCTGCCTCTCTTTCCTTGCCAGGCTGGAAGGCCTGTCACTCTAGTTCAATATGGAAAATTCTAGTTCACCCTTTTTAGTTGGTGCAGGACTTTCTCTGCATGGGAGGCAAAACTAGCGAGAGCCACGAGGATGTTTGCACACTCAGTGTGATGCACAGGGCAATGATTGATTGGCAGGTCTTTGGGGGCGGAAGAGTTACTCTTTTTAACAGAAATATTTCTAAAGGAGAAGACTAGGCCACAAATACTGTGTAACTAAAGTTTTTAATAAAAGGTAGTAACGATTTAGAATCCACAAATGCCAAAAGAAAGCTTTAACTGAGTTGTATCCAACCATGGCCTTTCATTCTGCATTTTCCTTCCTTCCTTCCTTCCTTCCTTCCTTCCTTTCTTCCTCCTTCCTTCCCTCTCTCCCTCCCTCCCTTCCTTCCTTTCTTTTTTTCCCCCTTTTTTTGAGATAGGGTCTCTTGTAGCCCAAACCGACCTTGAATTCTCTCCTTGCTCAGAATGACCTTGAACTTCTGACCTCCACCGCACTCACCTCCTATATGCATTTTCTAACTCTTGTCTCAATGTGTGACTGAACATCTTTTTAGAAGTTTATCATCCATGTTCATTTTTTTCCGAAATATAAATTTGCATCCTTTGCCCATTTTTATTAGACCTTTTGTCATTTTTTCCGCTGACCCATAGAGCCTTAAGTATCTTAGAGCCTTAATTCCTTAATGGGTGTGAGGCACTCCTCTTCCCATGGGCTGCTCTGTGCCTATTTGCTTGGTATGTCTTTGGCCATAGGAAAGTTTCATATTGTCATATCCTCAGACGGCTTCTGGTGTTCTTGGCTTACTCTAAAAGGAGGGATTGTCACACCTTTGCCCAGTGAGCAGAGCAGGTGGGCCTCATACCGTGTCACCGTGAGGGGACTGGGCCCGGAGAGGGGTCAGGGCTGGAGTGAGATGCAGATAGTGTTATAGCAGTGTTGCCCTTGTCGGAGTGCCTGGTGTGCACATACCATGAATTCGGGTTTTGTTATTTGCTGGAGAACAGCTATCCCAGTTTCCTCTACTAAGAAAGCTCCTCTTTCCCAGCGATGTGTTATCCTTTGACGGATGTGTTTCTGACACTTTGGGCACTGCTGTCAAGATTGGCACATGGTGGAACTCTGCAAACACTGGCTCTGGGCACAGCTGGAAGGACAGCTGAGCACGGGTTCCACACTCAGAACCACAGCTAGAGAGTGTGACTCTGGTTTGGCTTTTATTTTCAAACCATCTTGATTTATCTACCCCCAAATTTCTAGGCGCGTGTCGCTTGTGCAACCAGACCCTCGTCCAATCAAGACACGCCCACTTTTCAGGAGTTAGTTCCTTTGTTTCCTGTTCAGTCGGTCTCCCTCCCCTTTCCCCACAGGCAACGGCAATTGTCCTCACTGTGTGTGTGCAGAGGCTTGATAACATTTTTCAGAGAAATAAGCCACCCAGAGGCACCAACCATTGGCCGGGGAGGAAAACTAACTTCCCTCGAGGGCCTGCTCTTGGCTGATAGCCAAGGAGCAGAAGGGCTGCAAGGGCAAACAGCCCTGAGGGACTGGAAACTTGACTTCCCTTATGGGACCGACCAGTACTTTTTAGGCCAGGCAGAACCCATCCCAGATTACCTCAACAAGTTCCATTTTGGTCAGTATTTCCAAAGCTAATAATAAAACCTGTTAAATATTTACCTACCATTATCTTCTGAGCCAGAGTTTGTTGCTGCTGTTGTTACTTTGTTTTGTTTTGCTTATGGCAGAGTTTGCTATGTAGTCCAGGCTGGTCTCAGACTCCTAGCAATCCTTCTGCCTCAGCGCCTGAGTTGTGGAGTTGAAAGTGTGTAGTGCCGTGTCTAGATGATCATTTCTGTGTTTGATTCAAAACAGTCTATTTATTTATTTATTTATTTATTTATGTTTTTCAAGACAGGGTTTCTCTGTGTAGTCCTGGCTGTCCTAGAAGTCACTCTGTAGACCAGGCTGGCCTCGAACTCACAGAGATCTGCCTGCCTCCCAACTTCTGGGATTAAAGGCATGGACTAACGCTACCCAGTTTAAAAGTGTTTTTAAGTTAATAGTATGGCTGGAAAGGTGGCTCATCAGTTAAAAGTGGGTATTACTCTTGCAAAGGGCCAGAGTTCAGTTCCCAGCACTTTTGTTGAATAGCTCACAACCTACTGGGATCCTGCACCCTCCTCTGGCCTCTGAGGACACCTGCACGTGCGCTTGCTTGCACACGCACGCGCGCGCACACACACACACATTAATAAATAAATTAATTAAAATAATAAAAATAAATACTTTTAAAGATAATCTCAGGGCTGGAGAGATGGCTCAATGGTTAAGAGCACTGGCTGCTCTTCCAGAGGACCCGGGTTTGACTTCCAACACCACCCAGTAACTAACAGTCATCTGTAACTCCAGTTCCTGAGGACCCAATGCCCCTTTCTGGCCTCTACAGGCACCAGACACTCATGTGGTACACAGATATACACACAGACAAAACACCTACACAGGCACCACTCGGGAGGCAGAGGCCAGCTGATCTCTGTGAGCTCGAGACCAGCCTGGTCTACAAGAGCTAGTTTCCAGGACAGGCTCCAAAGCTACAGAGAAACCCTGCCACAAAAAAAAAAAAAAAAGAAAAGAAAAGAAAAAAAGAAAAAGAAAGAAAGTAAGAACCTACACAAATAAAATATATTTTTTTAAAAAAAAAATTAAGTTAATCTCATGAGTGTGGCTCAATACTCTGCCCTGGGAGAGAGAAACGGGCAGCCAAAGAAGGATCTGGAAATTGCAGGTGGAAGCTGGTGGATAAGGGGCAGAAGAGGGCTGAGGGGGCAGGCCTGACTCCTGAGTCTGAAGTCCCAAGGGCTTCTTTTGTGGCTGAAGATGGGGAGCCCCCATACCTACTGCCTGCAAAGCCATGGAGAGCTGGAAAATATTTCCTTAACATCCAGCCATAAAAGAAAAGAGAAGGGACCTGAGAGACCTCCAGAGAGAAGTATCTCTTGACGTGGTGACACATATACGTCACCCCAGCACACAGGAGAGGGAGGTAGGAGTTTTAAGATCAGCCTTAGCAACACAGCAAGTCTGAGTCTACAGGAGACTCTACCTCAAAAAGAGGGGTCTAACTCTGGAATGAGATGGACTAGGGACCATTAGTTCCTAGCTGTATTAGTTCCTCGTTCCCCTTAGTTGTATGACCCCGGAGAAGGGGAGAAGCTCTCTGAGGCTCAGTCCTCCATCTGGACAGTGCCTTTCTAGATGGACTGGGAGGGGCAGATTCATGGAGCACACCGCCTGGTCTCCAGTGGGTCTCCTAGAGAGACAG